AACGATATAGAAGCAGCTGATTCCGACTCCGTGCCACAAATACATACTTACTGATCGGCAAATGTACGATCTCCACGACGATGTCCATCTAAGATGACGATGGGCGACCGCTGCCACACTCAGATGCGCCCAGTCCAGTCCCGACTGGGCAATTCCGACGGGCCTCATTGCACGTGGCACTAGTCTCTCGCCTTTCGCTTCGGGCATCAGCGGAACGTGGAATCAAGCAGCCTACATGTAGGAACATGTAGGAACACATACTGAGACGCAAAGGTACGGAGGTTACGATACGTGACGCTGTTCTTTGCACTGACCGAAAGTTCCTCCGGCAAGCAACATGGGCCTGTCAGCATCCAGTCCTTTGCAGGGCTCACCCGAAATGTATGCAACGAGGCTCCCAGAAGATTCTGCTGACCCGACGAAGGCGGAATCAACTGATACGCAGGGCTGGAAGCAATATGATTACATTGTAGTGGGCGGCGGTAAGTACTGGCCAATTGGACCGACCACCGCACACTGATCATGCTTCCCGGCATGTAGGCACTGCAGGCTGTGTATTGGCTTCCCGTCTTTCAGAGGACCGCAGAATCACAGTGTTGCTGCTCGAAGCAGGCAGAAGGTGGTTCTACAGCCTCACTTCGTTCTCAACATAGTACCGACCTTGTTTCAGCCACAACGGACGGCTTGTGGACATGACACACATCCCAATCGCCTTCCAGCAGCTGTTTAAGACGGAGGTTGACTGGGACTTTGAAACTACGTGAGTGCCAGAGCCCACGACGCTTCCGCATCGACCGAAGGCTGTTTTGGGGGCAGGTCACAGAAGAATGTCGATGAGAGACGCATATATTACCCACGCGGCAAGGTCCTCGGCGGATGCAGGTATAGTCGATACTTTCGGAGGGAACCCATGGGTGGCTGACCCGATTCAGTGGTACCAATGCTGGGATCTTTCATCATTGTGCTCCAGAGGGTATGGGGCCTTTTATACGTAGCATATATGCTACTAATTCTCGGCTGGACAGACTTCGATGATTGGGAGAAGATCGGGGCGGCCGGATGGGGGTATAAGGACATGCGGCCGTTCGTCATTAGATTGATCGCGCAGCACAGCAGTCTGACTTATGGCATAGCTATCTTCTCAAGGCGGAAAAATACCTCCCAAACCCTGCATTTCCTAATGTCAAGGTGGACAACAGAGGCTCCAGTGGTCACATTTTCACGAGGAAATCGGAAGATGCTGCGGTAAACATGTGACACTGTCAATCTAGGGCCATATTATTCCTGACATAACTTCTGTAGCCTGTGAACAAAGTGATTATCGAGGCATGCGGGAAACTCGGGATTCCCTACACGGAGTATGTGACCCTGATCCGCGTTCTAATTCCTTTGTTGATCGCAGCGTATTCATTTGACAGAGACCTCAACACTCCCAGCGGCACGCTCGGTGCCACCGAGTTCATCGGAACAATTGATACTACGGGCAAACGTATGCTTTTCCTGTAGATCTATGTCTCATTCGGCGTTGACCACCTGCAGGGAGCAGCACTGCCTCTGCCTATCTGACACCTTCAGTACTTGCGCGCCCCAACCTCACGGTCGGCATCAATGTCAGGGTCGAACGCATCGTTTTCTCCAGTTCGGACTCTGCAGACACAGATGCGACACCGCGCGCCTCTGGAGTCATTATTGCAACCAGCCCTTCGTCCCCTCGATTCGGCGTGTGCGTCTCCCGAGAGGTGATCGTGTGCGCGGGGGCGGTGGCCACTCCACAGCTGCTGATGCTGTCTGGGGTGGGCCCGGCTGCAGAGCTGAACGAACTTGGTATCGCGGTCGTCAAGGACCTGCCACACGTCGGGCGAAACCTCGCTGATGTGCGTATCCCGTCCCATTCACTCCCCCTCGCGGCGCGGCGTCACTGACACCCAGCCCTCCGCAGCACATCACATGCGGCTCGCTCGTCTTCCGCGCTCGGCGGGGCCCCCGCATCACGCTGGACCACCTTGCGCACCCGCTGCACGGCGCGCTCGCGCTCGCGCAGTGGCTGCTCACAGGGCGCGGCCCCATGGCCTCCATCGCGGCATCCGCGGGCGCGTTCCTCCGCGCGGACGACCCTGCGTGCGTACCGCATTCTGCTGGCATGCCGCCGTGCCGGCGCCCGTACTGACGCGCCTGCGCTATCACATGCAGGCTCCGTGGCGCATTCGCGTCGGCGGCCTCCCCCGGCGTCGCTGTGCGCGACCGCACGTCGGGCGCGGGTGCGCCGGACATCGAGATCGCGTGGGGCGCGGCCGTCTTGCTTGATAATGGACTCCAGAAGCCCCCGCCGGGGTGCCCGGGACTGACGTTTGTACGTTGCACCCGCTGTCTCTGCTCAACGTCTGCTAACTAGTCGCTCCTACGTTGCACGTTGCGGCTTTATTCTGCTCGGTCTGTTCGGTGTGGTGTGCTCTGCGCCGGGCACGTCTTGCTTCTCCTACTGATTCACGTCCGTCATTCGGTGCGCTGCCGAGCAGAGCGCGATCGCGCTGCGCCCTGAGAGCACCGGTGCGATTACGCTCGCATCGCGTAGCGTGTGGAGCGCCCCACTCATCGATACGAAGTACGTCTCTCGGTCTCTTCGCTCCATCTTCGCGTCCCGGCGCTGTCTGCACCAGGCTCTCGTGTCTCGAGCCCGGCTGATTGCGAAACTCGGCGCAGCTACTTCGCGTCGGAAAACGACCTGAACGTGCTCGTTCGTGGCACGCGGCTGCTCCTCCGGCTCGCGCGCACAGAGCCCCTTGCGTCGTTACTCGACCTCGAGCCGCACCCGGACGGCGTGCTCGACGGGGAGGACGTGTTCTGGCCCGGGAGCGCCGACCCCGACGCGGTGCGTGCATGTATGTGAGCATGCCCCGCGGACGAGACTGACGTGCCGATATACACGCAGGTCACCGACGAGCAGCTCAAGGCGTGGATCCGCAAGAAGGCGGGGCCGGTCTTCCACCCGGTGCGTGCACCTTCCGCGCCGTGCGCCCCGCGCGGACGTACTAACGTGCCGGCTCCCCGCAGGTCTCGACGGCGCGCATGGGCGCGGGTGCGGGGGACAGCGTGGTCGACAATGTGCTGCGCGTGCACGGCGTGGCGGGCCTGCGGGTCGTGGATGCGTCGGTGTTCCCGACGCAGGTGTCGGGCCACCCGTGCGCGGTCGTGGTCGCCATGGCGGAGCGCGCAGCGGAGCTCATCAGAGGAAGTTTGTAGACCGAGAGTGAAGGGTTCTTGGTATCGATTCGGCTTGTTTCTACTTTTGAAGTGTGGCATCAGTCTATTCTCTATCTTGGGCTTTGATTACTGCTTCCCGAGCGATGTTTCCTGAACTGACCCTCTTCTGTTTAGGGGCTTGAAGGGTGTTGGCATCGTGGTGGTCCTTGACACTGTCCAGTTCCATTCATGGGCTCTAGGAGTGTACATGACAGAGCGACAACGACAATTGTTCCATGCTGTATACCATGAACGACTAGCCACGCTTTTTCCTCGACCGTTTGCATGCTAGAGACAGTCCCGCCTGAAAGTCAGATACCAGACGGAATGCAGCTCACTCTCATTTTAGGGTATCAAGCCTCCAATCATACACATGACACAATATATACCAGCCGGCGCGCAGCGCCTCCCCTCGGCCTGCCCTACCACTTGCTCTGCGCGCCGTCCACCGGCGCCCACAATGCCCTGAGGAGGAGGACAAAGACGAGGAAGACGAGGACGGCGGCGAGGACGACGAGCCAGCTGAACTGGTACCAGTAGAGCTCGGCGAGCTGCTCGAGGTACTTGATCATGACCTTGCCGGTGAGCTTGGACTCGCCCTCGGCGCGGACGCCGAAGGAGAAGGGCACCTCGGCGAGCGCGCCGCGCGGGACGTGCGCCTTGACGAGGAGCTCGAGCGCGATTTTGAAGCCGGCGCCGTTGAGGGCGCGCGCTTTGAGGAACTGTAGCCGGGGCGAAGTACGGGTGGGGGCAAGGTGGAGAATGGAGCAGGGGGAGGGAGATGGGTCGCCAGGGACAGAACATTCCAAGCAGCACTGGTCAGTACGTAGAGAAAGGAGTCGGGTGGTGTGCGCTCACCGCCTCTTTGCGGATGCCAAAGAAGCCCGACATGGGGTCGCTCGCGGAGGTGAGCGGGAGGGCGAGGAGGCGGGCACCGGAGGAGATGACGCGCCTATAGAGGGGCCAGTCCTTGTCCATCTCGACGCCGGGTGCGTACCGCGTACCGAGGACGAAGAGGGTGTGTGGCGAGAGCGCAGCGAGCATCTGCGGGACGTACTCTGGCGGGTGCTAGCGGGCGGGGCGGTCAGCTTCCGGGCACAGAGCAAGGGGCGGGGTGCGCACCTGGAGATCCGCGTCCATGCAGAGCATGTTGTCGCCGGCGGCCTCCTGGAAGCCGCGCACGACGGCGCTGCTGAGGCCGCGCTCGGTCGTGCGGACGATGATGCGGACGGTGTAGCCCTCGCGCTGCAGCGCGGCGACCTCCTCGACCGACCCGTCGCGCGAGTTGTCGTCGACGACGAGGACCTCGACGAGCTCGGCGGGGACGGGCGAATCGATGCGGCGGAGGGCGGCGAAGATGCGGGTGACGAGCGGGCGGAGGTTGCGCGCCTCCTTGTAGGCGGGGACGATGACGGAGTACTGTGGTGTCGACATTGCGGACTAGTGACACACGGTGCACGAAAGCTGAAAAAAGTGGAAGGAACGGAGGACTCGACCAGCGGTGAGGGTAGTGGGACAGACGTCAGTGTACAGATGAGCAGCCAGCGGCTGTGCGCTGGCACACGCTCGACGCCCCCCTGAGCCACGCCAGGCTCGATCGTCAGAAGCATCCTCTTTCGCGATCATACTCTGCCCGCTGCACACTTTCGCATCCTCGCATTTTCGATATATCTCCCTCCCCCCCGATGACCGCAGGACTTCATTTCGATGCATAGGATAATATTTGGGCATCTATTGCGATACATATTAGGTGCTCTAACGCCCATTTAGCTCAGCGGCAGAGCGCGCCGCTCGTAGTGACGCAGTCCAGCACTGAGTTAAAGACACGGTGAGGTCGGTTGTTCAATCCAGCCAATGGGCATCGCTTTTGCTCATCATCACTTTGATTAGTGATGAATGCGCAATTGTCATCGCTCAGGTGTCTTTTGGCGACTTTGTTGTTGTGATCTGTCCAGGTTCTGCTATTTTCTTTCACAATCCGACACAAGTATGTAATGCTCAGAAATTGCAAGATATCACTTCACCTCAGTCCTATGCGCAGATATGAAGGGGCAAGGATAGCTGATCATGGTGAGGTCAAAGGAAGCACAACAGAGGCGGGACTAATTGATAAAGTGCCCGAAATCAAGTTAACAATCCCAAAAGCCCTCCTTGTGCCATGCTCCGCCGTAGCCATGACAATCACACGCGGCTGTCCAGAAACCAGATTTTGAAACACTGATCTTGATGCATCAATGATTCGCAGGACGAAGCATCCGCCTCGCTACGTTTCACATTTGTGCGCATGCATAGTAATGCATAGTATTGAAAGCTGCGTGAACGACTTAAAATTAGCGACAAATCGAGCGAAAGGAAATTCATTTGTAAATAATTGATGTACCAAATGTAATGCCGTCGTCACATTTCTGGCCATCCGAGCACATTTTCCTTGTCAATATTTCCACTCTGCCGCCGCTCATGGTCAGGTAGTGCGACTACCCTAAAGCCTGGACCTACATTCAGCTCCATCCCCGCAACGTAATCTCCCTGTGTACACTAGCATCAGCCCATTCTCTCCTTGTGCTTTGCTTCAACATACTTGTTCATCCGGGAAGTTTCGCCGCCTCGTACAGACCTGTCGGGCGGAATGACACTTAGTGGACGTGTGTAAGCAATGCGAGGTGTGGGATTGAACAAATAATACAGGGTAAAATGATACTGGGAATCTAGAACACTACATGATAAGACGCTAACGGCTAAAGGCTAGGAGTTGGGAGAGCAGAGTATCGAGCCAAGACGTAATAGGTTGAGCGGAAGAAGTGCCGAATATTCCGAAATAGCCTGAGAGCCGGGTCCTCCTTAATATATACCAGTCGTGATCGGAGCTTACGACTATTCGAGGATTTTACCAACTCGTCGAAGCGAGCAACCACTTGCTGGATGGTTGGTCGCTCTGAGGGATCGTCGTGAACCATTTCCATAACCAGAGGCTCGATGAATTCGACGCCTCGGATAGGCTGAGCGAAACACCTTTCAATCAGAATTGAAACGAAATACAGCAGCGCGAGAATCTGACCTTCAAGAAATATTCCCGAATCATATTCCCGAGGTAATATATATCAGTAGGAAACGGATCACATGGATCGTTTGACCTGTGAAACTCCGGAACGGTCTTATCGCCTCCCCATATGGGATCCTCGAGCGGAGAGTTCTCTTCTGCTGAATACTTCCTCGAGATACCGAAATCAATGTAAAGGTATCTAGTAGGGCGTTTGGTGCGGGTATAGTGTTTGGCAGGACCGGAATAATCGCGCTTGAGGTGACTAGAAAGAGGATGATACATATCTGGATACAACGGCTTCGGATCCATCATGATGTTGGGTCCCATGCAATCCCTAGGAAAATCCGTACTACGGGTTTGATCGAACTCAAATATGAGCTTCGGAAAGACTCACCTGTGAGCAACATGATTCTCATGCATGAACTGCAACCCCTAGATCATTGTTGGGCAGTCAGAAGATGACCATGGTGAGTCGTAACGAGGATGTACCTCAAAGACCTGCCTAAAGAATTCCACTGCCTCTCCAACTGTTTCCATGTGGGGATCATCAAAATCACGTAGAAGGGGCATCACTAGGAGTTTCAGGTCTTGGTCGTCGGGAACGTCAAGCACCTCATATAAAGGCACGCAATGATTGCGGACGTCGGATTTGAGCGGTTCGGAAGAGAAATACGTGCCAATATCAATCTCATTCGGATGCTGAGATGGTCGGATCTGCTTGAGGAGAACCATAGCTCCATCTGATGTTCTGGTGGCATCCAGCAAGTTAAACCTCTAACGAAGAAACGGGCACGTGAGAAAGACTTATATTTCAAAACACCCTGAGATCCTCACCACCGGACCAAACGCATCCTCGCATCCCACCCACAACTTCTTCGTGCCCTTCCATGAAGGAATCCAATCAGGCATGTATCGGGGACGAAGGGAATATCCACGTTCTTGCAGCCACGGCTGGTGATCCCGCCACCATATTTCATCAGGATCTAGCGCACCACGCTCCGATAAGGAGGATGCCGCTGCCCTGCTCTTGACCGGTTGACTGTGGATGGACATAACAAAGAAATGAGACGAGAAATGTTGGAAATCTAGCAGCTCAATCGTAGCGTATCGGAACTCGTCGGCGACACGACCTGTTTGATCGTGTTAGGATCGTTGATGGCTGGCGCTTCATTGCTTACATAGGCAAGCTCATGGGTCGATCGCCGCGCACAGTTCAACGTTCAACATCAATGCCGAAGTACTGGTTCCCGTTTTATTCTATTGTTCTGACCTGCCACCAGAACAAGCAAGATAAGCCGATGTAACGGGTCTCTATTCAGTGCTCGAGTATTGTTATTGATATCCTCGAGGCAGTACCACCTCGCCGGGCTTCATACCACATATGTACAAACGTCCCCCGACATGTGGAGCACATTATCAACAACGATATCTGCTTCGGTCGCATTTCAAATTTGAGTTCTGTATATTTTTACCGCTTCCAGGCTAGCTAAGATCAACACGTGCGTACCTCGTTCAATCGGAACACTGCAGACGTAACCAACCCTCCACCCCATGTCTGAAGGGAGGAAGCATTGTGCTGGACTTGGAATACGTGACACCTTAGCGTATTGCTTTTGTTTACGGCGACAATTGAACTCAATCCGCGTTGTAATGATTTGCAGAGTAGGGAAGGAATATTTAACCTGGCTACCCTCCTGCCGCTCCTGTATACCCAATCATCCCGATCTCTTGCACTCCGACTCTCAAACATCTCAACGTATCTGATGGTTGACCCTTTTGCTGTCGCTAAATGTGCCGGCGCCATTATCACGTACGCCTGGAAACATGGCCCAACACACAGACTCGACAAAGCGAAGCAGCACCTCTCCAGTTCGTTGGATGAGATTGAGAATCACAGATTCTTCAAGGATGATAAGGAAGTAGAACGAATGATAGCGCAATACGATCGGTGCGTTTGATGACTGCTGGATTGAGAACAATACTCACGATCTACCTGCTTAGGATTTGCGTAGCAGTGAATGATGTAAACGCTGACTATGTCAGCAGACCGATATATCTGAAGGTCGCACCCAAAGTTCTTAATGATGCCAAAACGGTCAAAAAGCGTGCAAAGCAGTTGCATGTCTTGGCTAAGGTATCTGTTTGCCTATCTGTCAGTTCGTCTACATTTCAACTATTCGAACCGTAGGCATCCTCAGACCAAGCCAAGAGAAAGGCGTTGCTACAACCGTTTGGATCTCCTCGTTAGTATCATACATCTGATGTGTCGTATCTCTCTAAAAGCCATCCGTACATGACACCCATTCTGCATGCATCAGATGAAGCTCTGGAGACTGTTTCCCCACGTGCCATGAACTCCGTCGGCGGGGTCAGCGCCAACAAGAAAGTGACTTTGGCAGTTTCCGCAGCTAAAACACCAGACGACGGTGCGCTAGTTCCCTCATCAAGTGACCGTTCCGCATACTAAGGTCTATGTTCTCGCAGGGGACGATCAAGCTTCCCCTGCATTCCGGATTACAACAACGACTTCAATGCTTGAGAGGCACTGTCCTGGCGCCTCGGACCATCTATATGTACCCGTGGGATCCACCGCTTCAGATCTCGAACCACCGATAGTCTATGTCTCCCCATCTGTTTTCTGCAATATCCTCCACCAGATAGCGGCAGCGGCAGCTAGTGGGGAGATTGTCGAACAAGATTACCCAATGGGCGACGAGACCCTCACTTCGCCCTGATGTCTTGGCGATGGCAGAAGCTAGGTCATATTCAGCGATCGGGACACGATATCCCTGTGCAATGCCTGTTTAGATACCCGTAGAAACCTACAGGGAATATCACGAATAGCATGGTAGACGTAGCAGTCTAGAATTGCGAATAAGGGCAGGATCTGTTTGCCGATGATCGCTCGAATCATCATGTAATTGTGCGTCGATATGATTCACAATATGCTTCGTTGGGAATCCTGCGACTACCCTAGAACTTGGACATTCCTTCCATCTGGCGCTGATTCAAGGTATGAAAACTCACGATCTGTGTTACAATGCACGGTGGGATGGATGACACGGCGACCAATGCTTGAAAACTTCTCTCGGTGTCGAAGCCCGCTTTGCGGACTGCGGACAAGCGTGAGGTGGCGAGATTATAATAATACGGCTTGTCCACGGAATCTCTAGTCGCTATGGGCTATGGGCACTCAGAAACGTGGCTCTTCCTCGAGAGGGCTAATAATGAAGAGAGGACGGGACTACTGAAGCACTCTCAGCTCGCGACGGGGGTGGAAATACACGCCACGCTACTGGCAACGTTGTGGGCCCATGTGAGTTTCTTAGGTCTCGGTAGCATGGTTGCTCCGTGGTTTATCACATTGTTCACATCCCCGGAACAATAGTCATTCATTTACCATTCTTAGTACTCTTCTCATGGTGGGGGCGATTCCGTCGGAAGGCCGGCAACGGTCGCGAACCACGCGTACTAACATCAGAGATGTGCTAGCTCACGCATTGTAAAGTAACCAAGTGTCACAATCCAAGCACAGAAACAAAGCAGGGTACAAAGGGCAAGAATTATATGCGGTGCAGCGGGTCGAATGGAAGGCCCTTGTGCGAACCGATACGTAGAGTACGTGCGATTGCGAGGGGCGTTTAGTATAGCGGAAAGCGAACATAATATACGGCGGCGTCGGGACAGTACTAGACTGCTCAAGATATGACATGAAACGGCCCGGTTCTGTTGGCGACCTCCAAAAAGGTGAACGGTGAGTTCCATTTGAATTTGAGGGAAGGATGGCCGTTGATAGCATCCTTAGATACATCAACATGGAT